GATGAGGTTTCTTCGTCATAAGATGGTCCGTTTTCAGAAGGTACTATTATTTATGTCCAAAAATAAAACATTCCAGTTAATTTTTCGATCGAATTATGTCGTCGATCATTGTTTATGTATAAAAGGATCATTATAAACATGGTTTGAGTTTAAAGAACTACTAAGGTGTACACGCCCATTATTATGCCTTATTAATATCGGAACAAATCTGCAGAATGTTGCTATACCGTCAGAATGTAATTACATGACTGAATGTTTTACCTGAAGCCGTACCTGGCTATATATGAATAGATTATACAAAATTGTTCAGAAGATATATACTATATACTACCATATGAGGAGTTTGTGTAAATCAAGATAACGTCAGGTATCTCATTCTTGAAAGATGGTCGACACATCAATGGGTGTGGTTTGAAACCACCAAAGAAAGTGTCTTTCATTTTTCGTATATTATTATGAAGCAACAATTTTAATTATAAAAAACTTGATGGTTTATACAGCAGCCTAAAATTGTTTATATCTTCCATTTTTTGTTGTCAATGTTACTGGCCAAATTTTTTTCCCCAAAATTTCATGAAAAAGTGTGGTCTTGACGAAATTGATGTTGCTATAAGATAACCATTTCCCTATAACAAAAGATATCAAACATTATCCTATATATACAGTATATCCCACTTACCATGCTCATCATGGGTATCTTTTTAACTGTGAGAGATACGAGGTCGGTTAAATGACACCAAATGTGGAGTTTGTCAAGGCCAACTATAATGTGAAAAAATATTTTGATAAAATCTATTCGTTTTTGTTTTATACGCAAAAAACAGATTTTGATTTTCGGACCAAATCTTGTCCGCCATCTTGGAGCAGCCATTTTTTTTAATTTCAACAAAAATTCCATAATGTATTGTCATTCAAAATTGGTAAGTGGGGGCTTTTGAGGTCGGAGATCATGATTTTTTTGTTGAAATTTATAAATTCAAGATGGCGGCATCCAAATAATTTTTTGTTTTTGTATAAATGACGATAACTCTGTAGGAGAAAAAAAATTTATTTGTAACTAAGTCATAGTAAGCTATGACCTACATTTGAAAAACTAAAGTTGGTGCTGAAATCTCAAATTCTAGAAGTGTTGGTATAAATTTCATATTTTTTTCGAAATCACTTTGAAAAACTGCCATGAGAATGTGGAATTCCTATTTGAATATTTTCATAAATGAAGAAGTTACGGAGGAGACATGAAAATGATCAAAATCTGTTTTTTGCGTATAACACAAAAACGAATAGATTTTATCAAAATATTTTTTCACATTCTAGTTGGCCTTGACAAACTCCACATTTGGTGTCATTTAACCGACCTCGTATCTCTCACCGTTAAAAAGATACCCATGGTGAGCATTGTAAGTGGGACACACTGTACATATAATACATTTTAGGTAAGTATATTGCTTATTTTTGTCTATACGCACCTAAACAGGAAGATTCAAATTCTGTTTAATTTTTTTCCCATTTATAACAAAGAAGAGAGAAGAAAAATATATAAATATAAAATGTATAGAGAATTGAAAAATATACCAACTAAAAACACCTTTGCTTGCATGTGAATGGCATGATATATTATCACCCGTCTTATATTCTCTCTTCGTGTCGTCATTATCCAATTTATTAGCATTATATTCTTATCTTGATTTTTCTCGACTTCCTTCGAGGAAATGAAGAAGCCAGACACATGGGGCGATCGAGGGAACGTTGACCTTACGATGGAAGATGGAATGACTAAAAATCGCGTTTTTTCATTCCTTTCGAATTTGGTTTCGTGTCTAACTACCCGTTGAAATCTCCAGCGCCCAAATCTTGCAATTCTATTGTTCAATTTTATTGTTCGCCGTGTAGCGCCGTTTTATCATCACCAATTGTCTGACTGGATGTCAGTTCTTCGAAACAGAAACAAAGAAACTGAAATTTATTGTTTCAGCGTAAAAACACAGGATAAGGATTAAAAAAGTATAATGCTCACGCTGCACTGATACTTGTAGAGGCTGTTCTGTCTGAACCACACACATAACCTCTATTAGATTTGGTGTTCTAAAAATGACACTGATTTACGAATTTGCATACATATTATTATTATGGGACATCAACTTCGAATAGAAAGCTATATATATTTTATTGCTTTCCCAGATTACTTATACAAGGTGTTTTTGAAATAATTACATATAATATTCAGCACATCGATATAGAGGCTGTATCTAAATAGCACCGAAAAAATTCAAGGGGAAATTCCTTGTGATATTTTAGGAAATAAAGTTCATATAAACATGATTGTGTCCTACCTTTTATCTTCCATTCGACTTCGCGGTTACGTATATTACTAAACAACCACTAAATTCGCAATTTTTTGAAATCAAATCACAGAATTAGACTGACAGAAGTGACATCAGATATTTGATTACTTCAAAAGAATGATAAAGATGCCTACAACGCAGGTGTCCCTACTGTTAAAAAATTTCAAGTCGATAATTTTCGATCTTCAACAGTAATAATTCTTTCATAGATTTTTGAGAGGTAATCATTGATAAGTTCGTAGTTACTGGCAAGATGGTTATACATTTTGATTCCCATATATGAAATGTGATTTTCAAATTTGTTGGTGTTGTGTTTAGGGATAGATAAAAAGTCAGAATGTCTGGTTTCGTAATTATGTAATGATGACTCTTCGATATATTTGGATATCTTTTCTCTCACATACAGTAAGCTTCTGTATAATATGATGTAGATGCATGGAAAAGACATGAGGTTATGTTTGATATAAAGACCTGCTTGCAAGAATCATAATGATGCATGTTAAAAATATTCCTTATAATTTTTTTTAGCAACAAATATTTTCTGCCTATCTACTGACCCCATATGTTATAGGTCAGATTGCTGTATGCGAGGCTGTAATAGACATTCAATAAGGCATCTGTGGGCAAAGAATGTTTTATCCGCGAAATCGCAAAGTAGATTGAATTAAGTTTTTTCACTTCGTGCGTTATGTGATCAGTCCACCTCAGATTGTGATCAACGTAGACTCCTAAGAATTTTGTACAAGTTGTTGATGTTATAGTCTCCAATATTGAGAAAACGCATTTCATTACTTCGAGCATTGTATGAATGAAAGTATATGCATTCAGTTTTCCCCAAGTTCAGAATCAATCCAATTCTGTTACACCAGCTAGAAAACTTCTGAATGACATCCTCAACTTATCCTTGAAGCTCCTCAGGGGATCCTGTTGAGACCGCTATAGATGTGTCGTCAGCAAATAGTGCAAGTACATTTGAACTCAAGTGCTGTGGTAAGTCGTTGATATATATTCTGACGTGTGACCCAAATCAATTTTTAATCAAATCAACACTACATCGTTCTTCTGACAACACACCCCAGTTAAAGATCAAATAATTCCTCGAATTATTCTAAAAGCGTTTCACTTTTGTTTTCCATATAAAGTCACGTGTTCTGGACGAGTATCTCTGATATACGGCGAGTTGCCTTGAAATCTAAATGTCAGGTGGTAGGTGTACAGGTACAGTTAATAACAATGACTGGTGAATGACTATGATTAGAAATTTCGAAAGTTGTTTCTGATGTATGGCTGATTGAGATTTGTTATGAGAATTATACCCAGGTATATCTTGAGGATGACCATTGAAATTTTGTTTCATTTAATATATCTACAGAAGATGATTGTATGATATGAATCATTACCTCCTGGTTAGTCTATGTTCATTCCTAGACATACTAGTCCAAATTGAAAAGTATCAGTAACTATAGAATGTATTATTATTTCAAGAAATATTGTGAAGATTTTTCAGAATTTTATGTGGTGCTTTTTTCGAATGAGGAATTAATAAAAATCGATCAATTTTCTTTGCCACATGAATTGATTAATTTACCAAAAGTAATGTATACAGGGTATTTCGTAATATGTGGGACCCACTTCAAGAAGTGATAGGGCGTCTCAAGAAAATGAAAAAGTTTCCATAAGCCAAAGTCGTAGAAGGCTTTGTTTGAGGGGTGTAAAACTTGAAAATAAAAAATAATTTTCAATGAATTTCTGTAAATAGCCGCTAAAATAAAATTCTTGATATTCTGGTGCCTAACGCAGTACCCTACCTGAGAGTGATTGAATGGGTAGGATTATTGCTGGATAACCATATTTTTGTCATCACGAAAAGCTATATATACAGGTTGGACGAAAAAAGAGTCTATGCATATTTTCAACTTTGATACCATGATCTCAAAAGTTTATAAAATGTTAACGACAGATTCGTTCATAGGAAGATTTAAATTGAAATGGGTCTAAGAATCGCTCCCTTGAATATTAGCATCATGTCCTAAATTATAGGGCAAAATAATGTTAGTACTTCATATAAAAAAATGTCTTTCGGACTTTATTAGTTAGTTCGGAGTTATTGACCTTGAAAGTTTCTGCAAGTCCATATACGCAATATGACATGTGCATACTCATCATAATCAAACTCATCCATGGTGTTACCATGCAAAGTATCAAAGACTGTCAAAATAATAGATATACCATGATTCTATTGAATACATAGAGTTTGAAACAACATTTTTCTCAGGTAATTGATGCGAAGTAACACATCAGGTCATAAGTTATTTCTGGGGAAAGGTACATCCATGCGAATGAAATTTGTAACAGAAAGAAATCACAAATGTGACATAGTTTTATTGTTATTATTTTTTTATGGGAATGAAAAAAAATTGATAACTTTTGAACCGTCAACAATTGAATAACCACATAAATAAGATTGTAGTTTGACCCTGTATAGGTATTTGAAACTATAAAGCAGCCTTTTATCGGTCACCCTCAACTCGAAGAAAGTGCTTTGTTGACATTGACACGCTTCGAGCAGAAAGGTGTTGCATGTTGCACATAATGAGTAACTAGATGGTTTCGCAAGCATTCGGAAATGCTGCAATCAATACAATATCATCGACTCACCTTTGGCACCGCATATCGCGATACATGCAAGCAAAACAGCCACAGTCTTTTCCATCTTCTCTCTCAAAGTCACCCAATAACAATCTGTACAATACGCTCACTCGAATACCGGGTCTAGAAAGTGAAACGACCAAAGAATTAAGTCACGGTTTTGTTTGTCATTTTCTCTAGATATAAAAGTCCCATATATAGCAGAGCAGGCGTTGGACTAACAAACGCTTGCGTCGCGCAGATACGACTGAGTATATGACTGTGAGGCAGACTTGACTCGCGAGTGATTTCAATGGTTGCATAGGAAAGAAGCGGTTTTCTCTTTCTGTTTCGGCATTTTTCTTCGTCTTTTTTGTCGCGGTGGTCTGAGGCTTTTAGCGATTTGAGGTTTCGTAGGTATACTTATGTCTGTCTGTGTCACATATGGACATGGTCGGTGGTTGGACGAAGGTTGTTACTCGATACCTATATACAGGGTGCTACCGATATACAAGGTGTCCCAGAACAAAGTACTACAACTCACCTCTATAACTCCTGGTATAAATTGAAAGTTAGACATGTTTCCCGTAAATTTTAATGTCATCGCAACGTCATCTAATGACCTTGGCGACCGCGATATTAGTTATACCGGGTGACCCAAGACCTTGCGGTAAAAATATGGTTTATAATGAAAAAAATTGATTTATCGGTCAATATATATAGCACTCCTGAAACTTCATCATATAAAACAAGAATTATTGTCAATAACTATACACGACGATTCTAGCTTGATGATTACAGCATAATTACTAGAAAATTCATAGTTTTGCATTCAATTAAACCTACTGACCTTTAAAAACTATACCTACCTACACACGTTTTCAAGTTTTGGCGAAAGAGCAATTCTCCTTCGCCGGATTCAGACTAAATCCACCAAAATAAAAAATCGACTCTGTATAAACAATCATTGTGAGGGGACAGTTGTCCTAATCATTGGTGAAAAACTCGTGAGGCGATTTCTATGGTATTTTATGAAAAATCATCTATTGAAAATATGTCATAAAATGCCCCTTTCTAATAGGGCACCCTGAAGGCGGTTTTCCTCAATTTTTGCAGAAACCTTTCAGCCAAAAATCATGGAATTTCGTACATGGAATAAACTTTTTATGCTCAATCCGAATTTGAGCACATCATTTCAAATTTTCATTCAAGGGCGTATTATGCTGAAGAAGTGAAAGGTAAAAATAATCCCATTTTCTATTGTTCTTTTTTCGTCACATGATTTCAGATTAAAATACCTGGAGGATTTTTACTTATAAAGACATTTCTAGTTCATGTGAATAGGGCTCGTATAGTTTCCGAGAAAATAGTATTTTTTTTATATCGATACGTACCCTGTATAGTATTGAAATTTAGTACACTGTATAACATTTTCGCCAAACCAGATTCTCAGCTCGAAATTTCAGAATTCATATCTGAAACGTATCATTTGATGTTTTTTTTTTTGTTTTTTTTATCGCTTGGAGCGCGCGAAAGGGAATCCCTATAATGTTCAAAGAACATCGTGCGTTCCTAGGGAGGATAGGGATAGGAGGTAGGTATTGGGATTTTTTTTTGAACTTCTGGAGATTATATGTTGATGGGAATACTTCCTCAGGCAATGAATTCCAGAGCCTAGCCGTTCTATGGATGAAGGAGTTTTGATAAAGTGCTGTTCGACATCTTTCGAGGTTGACAACGAAAGGATGTGCTGACTGGGCTTGTCTAGTTCGTCTGACTGGTATTGCTAGTGAAGGGATGATAGCAGAGATTTCCGAAGCACATTTCCCGTGGAAGTATCGATAGAAAAGTGAAAGGTCGCCGACCTTTCTACGGTGTTCCAATGATGTCAAAGAGTGAGTGAGTGCGTGGCGTCACCCACCAGGCGGATGGCTCTTCTCTGGATGGAATCTAAGAGCATCAGCGTATGTTTTGGTGCTGAACCCCATATATGGGAACAATATTCTAGAACAGGCCGTATCTGCGCTTTGTAGATTATGAGAAGCTGTTGAGGTGTAAAGTAGCTTTTCGCACGGAACAAGAATCCGAGTTTTTGTGAAGCAGCTTTTGCGATGGATCTGACATGATTATCCCATGAAAGAGTGTTGCTGATGGAAATACCGAGCATAGATATGGTGGGCTTGGTGGAGATGTTGGTGCCACACATTACAATGTCGGGCATACTGAGTTCCGCCTTTCTAGAGACAATACAGGCTTGACTCTTGGTGGCGTTAAATTCAACTAGGTTGTTGGTTCCCCAGGCTGTGATTTCAGCAATTTCTTTATTGACAGCATTGACCTGCCTGCGCCGTGAGTTCTTAGTTTCCTGGAAAAAAATGGGAATTCCGGAAGAGTGGATAAAACAACTCCATTTTTTAATGGCGATTCATTCTTCAATATTAATATAATATTCTTTAACATTGTTCTTTAACATTGTGCTTTCAAATTAATTATAGATTCTTGAAGAATTTCAATGTGAAAAAGTTACTCCATGATTTAGATGGAGCGGCTAATTTTTTAGAGATTACTGCAATTTAGATATGCCTCTGATGAAAATATTGAGCAAATATTGAGGGAAACACGTCTTCAGGATGAAGCATTTTTCGACAATTTTATTCCATAAAATATACCAATATACCTCAGTAATACCATACGAATTGTTTACTGATTTTTGAAAGGAATATACAGTGTCATTCATAAAGTCGGCATCATATGGGAAAAACTTTTTTTAATGACTTATTTTGAAATTCGAGTTGGACGTTGAGTTTTGCTTCAAAAAAGATGAATAATGGCCTACTCAATCGGGGTCGCGTGATTTTCGCTACATGTCAAAAGTGACATTTTTTCAAATTAATCGCTGAAAGAAAAAGTTTACTTGAAAAAGTTTTTTCTATTTAAATTTTACATATATGTGACTCATATTTTATCTTTTTATTACACTTTTTAGATTTCGATATTTTTAAAAAAATTTCGAGATTTCTGTAATATTAAAAAAATTGTAAATTCGATAAAACTACTTTATACCAGTAGCTTAATCATGCTACTAACTTTCAATTAATAATTATCACTAATTATCGACAAAAATATTATTTTCTTCAGAAAATGATAATCTCCGCTTCAAAATTCTATTATGTTTGATGTAGACATAACATCAAAATTCTGTTATGTTTGAGTCAGAGATTAGCCTCCCGGTTTGAGTCAAGCATTTAGAAACGAAATTCATTAAAATTTATTTTTTCAGAACTGAAAAGACAGTTTGAATGAATTTCGTTTCTAAATGCTTGACGATATATCAACTTTGCATCAAACATAACAGAATTTGGAAGCGGGTATTATCATATTTTCTGAAGAAAATCATATTTCTGTCCATAATCAGTGATAATAAGTAATTGAAAGTAAGTAGCGCATGAAAAAGCTACTGGTATGAAGTACTTTCGTGAAATTAACAATTCTTCAAATATTACAGAAATTTCGAAAAATTAAAAAAAAAATCAAAATTTAAAAGTTGCAATAGAAAGATCAAATTCTAGAAAATTGAAATAGAAACAACTTTTTCAAGTAAACTTTTTCGATATTCGAACAAATAAGCCTACTTTCAGCGATTAATTTGAAAAAATGTCACTTTTGACATGTAGCGAAAGTCACGTGACCCCGATTGAGTAGACCATCTTGCATATTTTTTGAAGCAAAACTTAACGTCCATCTCGAATTCCAAAATAGGTCATTAATAAAAGTTTTTCCCATATGATGCCGACTTTACGAATGACACTGTATATTATACTCTATACTCTATAATCTATAGTTTCTCTTCTAAAAATGTTCTCGTGGTTATTAAATTTTGTTGTTGAGAGTAAGTTCCCCTTGCTTATATGCGTATACTGTTAGAGAACTACTAAAAGTGACGCACCTGGATAAACAAACGAATGTGATATATAGCCATAATTTTGTAGGTAGTTGATAGTCGCGCGTAGGTAGTCTGTATAATTTTCTAAATCCCGTCACTTAATGTAGATTATTTTGTAGATGTATAGGCGAAACCCAGAATCGTGATTTTCGATACCACCTCATTGCCAAATTAGAAAAAAAGTGACTCATTAAAAACGGTAAAACGAATGTCCAAATATTAATCTGTGCGCAGATTGTTTAACTAATTAGCATTTGAATGTCGACCAAGCATCAGTGGGGTACGAAACAGGGTATAAAAAAGATATATCCATCATGACATGATATAATTTGACAATGTGAAATGTACAGGGTGGCTGGAATTCGAGATACAGGATCGGTTCAATTATGGCAACTTTATACTTCTAACAAAATGCTGTTTGATACTTGGAAAATTCCGAAATCCAAATTCCCTGTACGTGATGTACACTTATAGGGTGTCCGACATTATGAAGTGATAAATGAAATGCTTTGGTCGAAAGTAAGATATATCAATTGGATGATATATACCTACCTATTATAAGTATATTATACCTAATGATCAATTACTGTGTCATTAAGTCTCATATACTTCAACACTTCTTCGTTTCAAACTTATCGCTCCAAATTCAGAAACACCTAGTATATATATAATAATCGAGTATTCCCAAGAACCTATATATGTACAGAGTGAGTATCATTACTATTAGGAAATTTGATTTATGAAAAGTCTGATTTGGACTATTAGATAATTGTTGCTGGTGAATGACGACATTTCTTGTCAGTGAATAAATCATGGTGCGAGTTTATAGTCAATAAAGTCAATACTTTTTTGATTGAAACGCCCTGTATCTCTTTCCACAGCAAAATTTTATCGAGGCATATTTGTCCCTATCGCTATATTTTGATTTAAACAATCCATCCTTAGCGTATGTTTCAATAGTTATGACTCACCCTATACAAGGTAAATCCTGGTAAATCTGAAAGTGAGGTGTTTTTTACCAGGATCCATATCTCACCAAAATAAGTTGTTTGGCAAAAATTGCTCACATAAAATATCTAAGTTAACGGAGTTACAGGTATTTAATGGTTTGAAGAAGATCCAATTATGGAGTATATTGTTTTTATTTTCTCAAGAAAAAAAAAACGCAAAAAACCG